CTGCCATCCAAGATATTCAAAATATTAAGGAAAAAATCAGTATTTTTCGGCCTTCGGAGCAGTCGGCTTTTGTGTGGGGATAACAGCCTGTCAGATAAATTGGCATTTGGTCAAATGGGGCATTTTTCGTACTATTGGGGTTTCAGAATAATGGGCAGTCCCACTCTATTCATCCCAAACAGGCCTGACAGGCTGTACTGACTGTAGCAACCAACCGTGTGCCCGGTCAGTGCGTGCTTGTGTTTGATCTCAGAACTCACCAAGAACTCCAGCTCTTTCTCTTTTTTCCCCGTTAGATTCATAAAACCTGCACAAATTCTTCGCTCACATATTTTTATCTTCGGCAAACCTGTCTTTGGCTCAGTTTGCCAAACACACACTCATTCCCACTCGTGTCTTTCCATTGACTTAATGTGCAATCACACCAAACTAAAATTGGCCTTGCCTTCTCTTTGAACACGCTTCAAAACAGAAAAACCGTGACGTCATCATGGTAATTTCAGACTGGGTTGAAACTCAGAATTTTTAACAGTCTGCATTACAGACGGGAGGGGTTTAAAATAAGTGAGCATTTAGGAGGCACAGAGATTCTAATGGAAGATGCATTATGGGAAATGTAGGATCCAGCATATTTGGAGCTTGACTCTAAAAGTCAGGATATATTGGCCTCTGCTGCTTCAGGTGTGACTCTTGTGAGTGCCCCAACTTTATGGAAGTGCAATACTAAATAGCTCGAGAGCCCCTTTAACCCTCAAAATAAGTGCAGTATTACTTTCTGTTGCTGCATATGGCTGTACTGATGCAAAAAATAACAGCACATGAGATGGCATTGCTACAGAACGGCGTGAATTAGATGGCTCAATTTGTTTGCAATATTTGTAGGGCTACAATCATCTCATTTCCTGCCTCAAACTTCTGTTTTTAAAGTGACTTAAAAGCAACGAGAGCCAAGATTTTATTAAACCAAGCCATCAGATCTCGAGACTGAGCGTCAGTCAACACTGACATCTAGTGAGTGATTGATTCATATCTCAGTTTACGGAGATATTCATGCTATGTGTGGACTCGCTGATTAAATGCAAAACAATACAAATGATCCATCAGCCACTTAAAGTTGCATCAGTCATCAGTATCTGTTGCCACTGCAGAAAATGCTGATAGATCAGCTTTTTATTCCAGTTTGCCGACTGTTATTTGTCATTTCTGAACAGTATGTTAGAGTTATTAGGTGGGGGTAAAGACTTTAAAAGAGGAGGCGTGGAAATGTATATCCCACCCTGTTTGCGGTGTTATTGATTTCACTTTGCAGAAAGGTAGAATTACAAAGTCATTTATTGCGTGGTTGAATTGGAAAGTTTGCATGATTGCGTGTGTGTGTGTTTTGCAGTAATCATACTCTCCCATTTGTCTCTGCTGTGATTTCTTTGTGGAGTCTGAAATCAGCTTCTCTGTTCCAGTCTGTCTGCTCTCCGGCCTTCAGGCTTCACTTCAAACGATTCCGTGTGAATTACAGGATGTAAAGATTGCCATTCATCTCGGCAGCCGTCTATCCGAGCACACGTTTGATTAGTGGAAACCCCCCCCCCCCCC